ATTTTTTTACAACTACATTTTCATGTTGACGTATTATGTCGCCGTCTCGGTCCGTCCGTTTATGGGCACTGTACAGGTCACAATATTTATCATATTTTGATAAAACTTAAAATATGTGTAAACACAATATTAGCAAAGTTAGCAACATGTCTTAAACAGAATGGACATACGTCTGTTCTAACAAACTGATGCACCCTGCTTTGTACATTACTGATTTTTCCTCTGGTTTTATGATTTAGGTATTGATCATTGTGATCATGAGAGGACGAGCTCTATCAATTTTCAGCATTGTGCGACTTTTCGTTTTTAGTTATGCCGCCCCTTTTCACGAAAACCTTGTTAACGCGATAGAGGCAATGGTTTTGTTGTTGACTAATTCATTTCAAATTTGACGGGAAACATTGGGGTGAGGAGTGAACATGACCAATTTTTAGCTTTCTACAACTTTCATTTCCTGAGTACCCCAATTGCCGAAAACCTTGTGAACGCGATATAAGCTACAGTGTGAGGTCAAAGGTTAGGAAATAAGCTTCAATAATGTTACGTCACAAATGCTTAATTCTTTAACACTGCTTTTGAACTCAACCAAGAATGAGAGAAAGAATGGGGTTTAACGTCCATTTGACGCGGACACGAACTAGGCCACTTCGGGACTAACACTGGTATTAGTCTAACTTGAGCACAATGAACAGTTTTATTAGCCTAACTTGAAGACAACGGACATTGGTATTAATAAAACTTGAGCACAATGGACACTGGTATTTATCTAACTTGAGCACAATGGACACTGGTATTAATCTAACTTGAGCACAATGGACACTGGTATTAATCTAACTTGAGCACAATGGACACTGGTATTAATCTAACTTGAGCACAATGGACACTGGTATTAATCTAACTAGAATACAATGGACACTGGTATTAATCTAACTTGAGCACAAAGGACACTGATATTAATCTAACTTGAGCACAATGGGCATTGGTATTAATCTAACTTGAACACAATGGATACTGGTATTAATCTAACTTGAGCACAATGGACACTGGTATTAATCTAACTTGAGCACAAAGGACACTGATATTAATCTAACTTGAGCACAATGGACATTGGTATTAATCTAACTTGAACACAATGGACACTGGTATTAATCTAACTTGAGCACAATGGACACTGGTATTAATCTAACTTGAGCACAATGGACACTGGTATTAATCTAACTAGAATACAATGGACACTGGTATTGGTCTGAAGTATAAAGGAGAAAACTCATTGTAGAATGTTCAGATTAGCCAAGATTACACACGTCATATCATCGAAAACATTACAAATGTGACATAAATAAAATTCACGCCGAATCAAAAGCAGTGGCTAAATACTTACTTAAAAATAAAGACGGCACATACAATAGAGATTAGCAATGCTCCAGCACACATTATATAGAGCATAATCCGATCAATTGCTCTGGACACGTCCTGCCAGCTAATGATTTCCTTATCTGTATTTTCATCAACTAGATGATCATTCTCAATTTTGATACCCCGTCTTCCGGTCTTGCCCAACCAATGGTAAACTCCTTCCCTAGGCACCGATCCCGAACGGTGATAAAGCGAAACGGCGCCAACAGAAGCCACAACAGATACAACCTTCAAACACAACATTGTGCAGACGTAGACGCCTAAAATACTAATGTTTTCTGAAACTTTTGGTAAAATATCTGATAGTGCAGAAAGGATGACAAAATAGGCCAGGAGAATGGAAACTGATACAGAAATCTTTTCTCCTGATTCAGCCGGAACTAGGAAAACAACAGGATTCAAAACCACTAAAAGACAGATTGGTAAAATGATGGTCAGTACGTAAAATAATGGATATCTTGATAAAGACATCTGGAGTATTATCTGTTGGTGTTGGTGAAAAACATCCATGAATTCTTCCTTAGCCAAAAGATGCCCTAGATTCCATGTATTACTTGCTTCCATCAGTATTGGGATCTCTTTTTTTGAAAGCCTCACCTCCGACACTGTGCTTACCCAATGTGCCAAACTGATGGAACAAGTCTGTGTATCGAACGGGAATTTTCCAAGGTTCATCTTACAGCGTGTTTCTATTGTTTTTCCAATGTACCAAGTTACTGTACCGTTGTTGTCAATAGAGACTTTGTTGTAATCTCCAGGTGTTAAGATGGCGGATTGTAGGGACAGACTCTTCGAAAAGTATAAATCTGGAACCCATATCCTTTTAGCTGGGATTACAATACGATCGATCTCGTCATTATCTGTCTTATTCCATACCAAAAAATCGTCTTTCCAAGTTAACTGTAACCAAATTGACGCTACTAATGTCTCCGAAGATGAATCAAGTTTCGTGACAGACTCTAAGAAAAATACAATATCAACATTCACAGGAGCTGATGAGTTTGTTATGGGTCTCAAATCAGGATTGTACTTGTCAAATATTTTCTTGTACAATCTATCTGCAACGCTACCGGAGCAAGATGAAAATCCTATGAAACACAATATTAACGAAGTTAGCAACATGTCTTAAACAGAATGGACATGTGTCTGTTCTAACAAACTGATGCACACTGCTTTGTACATTGCTGAATTGTCCTCTGGTTTTATGATTTTAGCATTGTGCGACTTTTCGTGTGAAGTTATGCCGCCCCTTTTCCCCGAAAACTCCGCGAACACGATAGATGCTATATTTTTCGACGGGTTTTCAGAAAACATTGTTAACGCGATATAGGCTATGGTTTTGTTGACTGATTTTTTTCAAATTTGACGGGAAACATTGGGGTCAGGAATGAACATGGCCAATTTTTAGCTTTCTACAACCTTCATTTCCTGAGTACCCCCCCCCCCCATTGCCGAAAACATTGTGAACGCGATATAAGCTACAGTGTGAGGTCAAAGGTTAGGAAATGAGCTTCAGTAATGTTACGTCACAAATGCTTAACTCTTAACACTGCTTTTGGACTCAACCAAGAAAAGGGAGAAAGAATGGGGTTTAACACGAACTAGGCCACTTCGGGACTAACAGTGGACACTGGTGTATATTAGTCTAACTTGAGCACAATGGACATTTTTATTAGCCTAACTTGAAGACAACGGACATTGGTATTAATAAAACTTGAGCACAATGGACACTGGTATTAATCTAACTTGAGCACAATCGACACTGGTAGAAACCCTTTGTAGAATGTTTAGATTATTTAACCCACCTTACATATTCAAATTATTATCATATTCCATCTTGAGCACAATGGACACTGGTATTAGTATGAAGGAGAAAAACTCTTTGTAGAATGTTCAGATTAGCAAAGATTACACACGTCCTACCCACGTTAAATATTCATATTATTTTCATAGTTCATCTTGAGCACAATAGACACTAGTATAAAGGGGAAAACTCTTTGTAGAATGTTCAGATTAGCCAAGAGTACACACGTCCTACCATCGAAAACATTACAATTGTGACATAAATAAAATTCGCACCGAAGGAAAAGCAGTGCCTACATACTTACTTAAAAATATAAGAATAGAGATTAGCAATGCTCCAGCACACATTATATAGAACATAACCCGATCAAATGCTCTGGACACGTCTTGCCAGTTAATGATTGCCTTATCTGTATTTTCACCAGCTAGATGATTATTCTTATTTTTGATACCCCGTCGTCCCCGTCTTGTCCAGACGGGACAAGTGGTAGACACCTTCTTCAGACACCGCTTCCGAACGGTGGTAAAGCGATGTTTAGACCAATGGTAGACATCTTCAGGCACCGATCCCAAAATGTGATAGAGCCATGTTTAAAGTGGAAAGCTTTTAAGTTTTAAGCAAAGATTACACCATTCGTAACATCAAAACCATTACAAATGTTACATGAACAAAATTTACATCGAAGCAAAGAAAGTAGTTTTATAAAACCTTGCTGGATTTCAAATACTTATTTAAAAAATAAAATTAGCACATACAATAGAGATTAGCAATGCCCCAGCACACATTAGATAGAACATAATCCGATCAAATGCTCTGGACACGTCCTGCCAGCTAATGATTTCCTCATCTGTATTTCCACCAACTACATGAACATTCTTACTTTTGATACCCCGTCTTCCGGTCTTGCCCAACCAATGGTAGACACTTTCTCCTGGCACCGATCCCGAACGGTGATAAAGCGACACGGCGCCAACAGAAGCCACAACAGATACAACCTTCAAACATAACATAGTGCAGACGTAGACGCCTAAAATACTAATGTTGTCTGAAACTTCCGGTAACAATTCTGATAACGCAGAAAGTGTGACGAAATAGGCCAGGAGAATAGAAACCGATACAGAAATCTTTTCCCCAGATTCAGCCGGAACTAGGAAAACAACAGGATTCAAAACCACTAAAAGACAGATTGGTAAAATGATGGTCAGTACATAAAACAATGAATATCTTGATAAAGAAAACTGGAGTATTATCTGTTGGGCCTGGTAATCAACGACGAATTCTTCACTAGTCAAAATATGCACCAAGTTCCATGTACCACTTGCTGTATTCAGCGGGCGTATCTTCGTTTTTTGCGAAAGATTTACCTCTGACACTGTACTTGTCCAATGTGACAAACCGATGGAACAAGTCTGTGTATCGAACGGGAATTTTCCAAGGTTCATCTTACAGCTTGTTTGGGTTGTTCTGCCATTGTACCAAGTTACTGTACCGTTGCTGTCAACAGAGAGTTTGTTGTAATCTTCAGGTGTTAAGATGGAGGATTGTAGAGACAGACTGTTCAAAAAGTATAAATCAGGAACCCACGCCTTTTTAGCTGGGATTACAATACGATCGATCTCGTCATAATCTGTCTTATTCCATACCAAAAAATCGTCTTTCCAAGTTAACTGTATCCAAATTGACGCTACCAATGTCTGCGAAGATGATTCAAGTTTCCTAATAGAATCTAAGATAAATACAATGTCAACATTAACAGGAGCTGATGCGTTTGTTATGGGTCTCACATCAGGATTGTAGCTGTCAAATAATCTCTTGTGCAATCTCTTTGTAACGCTACAGGAGCAGGATGAAAATCCTATGAAACACAATGTTAACAAAGTTAGTAACATGTCTACAAGAGAATGTACATACGTCTGTTCTAACTAACTGATGCACACTGCTTTGTAATTGACTGGATTATTTCCTGGTTTATGATTTAATTATTGATTCATTAATAGCCATTATATAATGAACAAAGTAAATACCCGAATGTATAAACACAGTAATATCTGTATAAATAATGGATGTAATATTGTTTAACAACTCATTAGTTTGATGCAGAATTCCAGATCTAGATAAACACCTTCTGATCTAATTGTCTGTGATAAACAACTACAGTTAAACCCACATTAATTATTTCTGACCCCACACAATAGCCCACGTAAGCCATTTCAACAAACAGATTGAAAATCATGTTAATGCTATAAGCTACAGTTTTTAACCGTTTTGGCTGTGAACGCGATAAAGGCTACCGAAAACCATGTGTGAAACATTGTGATCATGAGAGGGCGAACCCTACCAATTGCAGCCATAGAGGCTATATTCTTCGACGGATTCCTTTTAAATAATTTGTGAAACATTGTGATCATGAGAGGAAATGCAAAGAAGCTTAACTTCCCACTGTTCTGGGTTATCCGTCGCTTTACAGCGGTGTGCAGCGTTATACCCCTTTTTAGAAACCCCTGTAAACACGATAGAGCAGTGATTCTCACCCTGTGTACCGCGAAATTGAACGGCACACTAAGAAAATTTCTCACTAAAGTCAAGAAGCCAGCTGTTTGACTGATGAAATTCGAAACACTGCAATAAAGTAAGTCCATAGCTGTGTTTTTCTTTATTTAATTTGAGTCATTCTATGTGTGTATGACTAGTCTGTGTCTACGGTTGTATGCCGTCTATGACTTGCCATGTTTTTATTTTGCAAAATTCAAATATTTTTCATATATATTTAGCCAGGTGTGCCGCTATTTTTCCATGTGATCCAAGGTGTGCCATTGGCAAACAAAGGTTGAGAACCACTGCGATAGTGGCTGTAATAGTCTTGTTTTTGACAGATCCTTTTCAAATTTGGGAGCCACGGTGGGTAAGGCGCTGGTTCGCTAGCCTGGTGGTCGCGGGTTCGCTTCCGGTTTGACGGGGAGGGCCTGATAAGAACAGCTGTCTAGTAGGATTGTGGTTTTCAAATATGTTCTTGTGCAATCTATTTAAAACGGTGGAAGATGAAAATCCTATGAAACACAATATTAACAAAGTTAGTAACATGGCTGCTCAATAGCGCTTTACAAAACTCAGACATGGGAATTTATATTTCTCTAAAATAAAGTTAAAAGAAATTGCCCATGTATTGTAGTGAATATAAATTATATCAATTTATTAGATAACTATTGCACTGAAAATTCTTAGTGTAAAGAATGTAATCCATTAGAAATACAACATTTTGTATAGTAAAGCTATATGACGCCATGATGTCATAATTTTTATGGCGTCATAATTGGTACCCAAAATGGCGCATGTAAATGAGTTTTCGGAACATTCCCTATACAGGGCTGGATTTTACCCTGATATTATAATTTGATTAGCCATTATATACTGAACAATCTACAAACACAATAAGAATTTGTCATATAATGGATATATTGTTTAACCACCGATTAGCTTAATGTAATTTTCGAGTTCAAAATACATATAACGGCAGATCATCTAATTGTGTTCGATTGAAAAAAGAAGCCGAATCAATGTCATTTAATATAATGGACGAACTAGGATTTAATCGCAAACATAGACTTATTGAAAATGGCATGTCAATAGCAATAGAGCACTTTGTGTAAATTATGTTGAAGAATTTGACGATGATGGTTGTTATTTACCTGCAATTTTTAGCCTTGATTATTCTTATCGACTGCAGCTGCAATTGATATACTATTCGAGGCTTTGAGCAAGTAAAATTAGGTTCAATTATAAAATGTTCAACATATATCATCACAGTTTGCATGGAAATAGTGAAGAGTGGAACACTGAAATCATAATCTTATCTTGCCGAACAATTTTTCTGTATTTTTGAGTGACATGACACCCCGTGATTCTGGTGAATAGAAGACACGTCTTTAAATGACATTTGAAATATACGCCTTCTCGTATTTTCAGCACACAGCATTTTTTGTAAATTTCCCAGTAATTCTAATTTTTAAAGCTGAATAAAACAAAAAAATACGCCTGAAATAAAGGAATCACGATCATCAAGTCGCATTATTTTTTTTTTTTTTTTTTTTTTTTTTTTTTTTTTTTTTTTGGTATTCGCCGTTTTAAGAGAATAACAGACACTGTGTGTCATTCTGAGTAGACAATCAGTGGCATGGGATTAAAAGAGGTGTTATCATTATTTACTGCTATCAAATGTAGAATTACTGTAGTACTACGGACTTCTTTATATCCTGGGCGCCATGGAAAACGCATCACTTAGTTTTTCGTATAACAAAATGATCCTGTAAACATATCTTATTTATTTTGCTTCTTATTGTGAACAATATTCAAATGGGAACACACCAATAACAACACATTTATATACTTATGGATGTTTATTCTGTAATCAACGGTACAAAGTCAGAGGGGTCAAAACCAAAAGCACGACACAGATGTCAGTAGCGCGTGTGTCCTCCACGGGCTCTTACGCACCCTGTGCAGCGACGTCGCATGGAATTTACCAATGTTTGAAAGAAGGCCTGGGGCAAATTGTTCCATTCTTGGACAAGAGCAGCTTCTAAAGCAGCTATGGCGTGCATCTGTGGTCTCCGATACAGACGGCGTCCAATCTCATCCCAGACATGTTCTATCGGTGTCATGTCCGGAGACATGGCTGGCCAGTCCAAGACATTGATGTTGTTAGCAGCCAGGTAGTCCATACTAAAACAGGCGGTATGCGGACGTGCATTATCTTGTTGGAAGTGCTGAAGTTGTGGGTGCGCTCGAAACATCGGAACGACAATTGGTTGCAAGACATCATCACGGTAGGCTACAGCATTAACGCGACCCCTGCAAATGTGTAGGGCGGTAGGGTGATGAAATGTGAAGCCTCCCCACACCATTACACATCCCCCACCCCATCGATTCGTTTCGAAGACGCAGCAGTCTGCAAGACGTTCCCCAATACGTCTCCACACACGGCCATCAGCGTGATAAAGATGAAAGCGACTCTCATCATTGAAGAGCACACTTTGCCAGTCTACTCTTCTCCATATCAAACGCCGCTGACGGTGTTGATCCATGAGGATAGCTCCAACATAAGGTCCTCGTGCAGGGAGTCCTACTTCTCTTAGACGTCTTACGATGTTGGCACTTACTGGTCCTTGTCGTCCGACGACTGCTGCACCTGTTCGAGTGACGGTGTTGATCCATGAGGATAGCTCCAACATAAGGTCCTCGTGCACGGAGTCCTACTTCTCTTAGACGACGTCTTACGATGTTGGCACTTACTGGTCCTTGTCGTCCGACGACTGCTGCACCTGTTCGAGTCGCTGGGCGGAATCTGTCACGCAGATGAGTGACCCGGATGTAGCGGTCTTGAGCCTGGGTTGTAACGCGTTGTGGACCAGGACGTTGACGGTCACGTGTTGATCCAGTAACTCCGAACACGTTCCACCAACCTTACAATAGTGGACGGATGACAATTGAAGTGTCAGGCAATAGCACGTGTAGACATGCCAGCCCTGGACATTCCCATGGCTTCATTCCATTGATTTTCAGTGTGTCTCGGCATCTCTAGCTCGTCCAACAACAAATTACGACAGATTGACGTTTCACAGTTCATGTACTGCACATTAAGTTGAAAACCTGCTTTTAAAGGGCTCACACACAATGCTGCACGTTAATATTGGGTTTTTCATGCGCATCTCGTGCAATTTTTTTTGTGCACACGGGCCGATATTTTTTGCGTTTGGGATCATTGTGTGAAACAATAGTTCATAGTATTGCATAATATTATACATACAAAACCACCTAGTAATAAAGTATTTGGGGAAAAAAGTGATGCGTTTTCAATGGCGCTCAGTAGAATGTTGTGTTACCTTGTGATCGTAAATAATACCACAGTAATATTAGTTTCACAGCTTTATTGGTAAACTGGAAATAACTTTGCAGGTTCCTCGTTCTCAAATATATAATGGCTTCTTGGAATAATCTGGTGAGAGTCTAATTTAGCTCTCCTCTACACCCTAATTTATACCCACTAATTTCTGCAGGTCTTCGATAACCTTGAGGTTAATTTCCACCATATAAGGAAAACACTTTATTTCCCACCACAAACAGAGATAGATATTACCTTATTTGGTCTAACTCTCCTTCTAATTGAGGTAGAATGTTCAAACTTGGCGTAGGTGTCTATTAGGTGAATGTTTAAACTTGATGTAGATGTTCATTAGGTGAATGTTTAAACTTAATGTAGATGTTCATTAGGCGAATGTCTTGACTGAGTTCAATGATTAACATTTCGAGCTGCCGCTAAGCAGAGGTAATCGATTTCATTTGTCGATGGACAAGATAATCTTGATTCTATCTGATAGAGATTGGTGAAACTTAGTGTATGGTTTGATTGCTCGATACATTTGAAAAATGTGCGATTAATTAATATGTGTCATCTTTTTATTTTGGGATTTCGGCGGGGGACATCAGCCTCACTGTTGGCTTGTTTCAACATCAATCGATATAACCCCGCAAGAACCAGAAACCGGACAATCCAACGTATAGCCTCCTGGATATTCAGTCATATTAAAATACAGATGTGACGTCATCTTTTGATGTTGGCGTAACAATAGGGGAGACGATGTCACATTCATTTCCACAGTAAAGATCTGAGCTGCGGAATATAATCGTGGCAGAGAGAACAATGAAATGGAGTTTAACGTCCTACTGTTCTGCTCCTAACCTGGGCTAATGAAGACGGGCATACGCCATACACTGTGCTATGAGGGAAATTTTGCCCGGACAGCGGCACTACGGCCTACTCTTATATTGACTTCCAACTGTCAAGGGATCTTTTACGTG